TATAAAAGTATGCATATTTAGGGTAAGGGTTAAAATGTTATTATTTGTTTATTTCACTTTTAGTTATTTTAATACAACAAGAAAACAAGTAAAAAAAACAACAAGAAAAAACAGTTCAAAATACCATAAGTTTGTTTGTTTATTAATTTATTTATTTTCAGTTTTTATTTTAGGTAACTATAAAAACCCTGGTTCACATTGGATGTTTAACCTCACTATCTGGTAACCAACAATAAAACAAACAAATCATGAATGAAAATGAATGAATTAAAAAATGGCTTTTTAAATTCATACATAGCAATGTGTCTACACATCTAATTTAAAATATATATAGGATAATGATTTAATAAATACAAATAGTTTAATAAAATGCAGCAGCAACAACAACAATAATAATAATAAATTCTGTCAAGTTTGCTCAAAATTGGTAGTTCTGCAAATTACTGTTTGCACAATTACTGAAGAATCAGCATCTATCAAATAAGGACAAACACTGGCCAGATTTTCCATATTAAGCATAATAAAAATGTAAAAATATAAGAATGGAATAGCACTGTATTTGTTAGTTACTTGCTATTGCATCAGTTAATTTTTATACTTATTGGATAATAGGTGTCAGAGACCTCAATTATATCCCATTCTTAAAAAAATCAATTTAGTATTAGTAATGTTGCATTTTAGAGTCTTTCATGGATAAACAGCAGTAAGCTCTTAATTGTGGTTTGAAACCTTGAGCGAATCAGCATCACTCACCAGTGGCACGAGTTCATAGGTTCATTGAATTCCTGCAGTGTGCAGTTTCTCAGAGCAGCGAGTCATTTTCCACAGCTCAGTCAATGGAGCATGTCAGTTTCATCATTTCTCCAAACCCGCACCTCACAGCGAACAGACCCCTCCATGTATCCTCCTGTCTCTCTACCCCATGCAGTTTGAGCTGAGATACTCAAACACACATACAGTGAGTGGTTGGTCAGTGACATTGTAAGGCACCCGAGTGATGATTTAGTGAAAAACTGACCTACTTGCCACACACACACACACACACACACACACACACATACAGACACAGACAGGCAGAGAAGAAGAATGTTTCAGATGTTTTTATCTAAAGTCAATGAGAACCAAAACACCTCAACAGAAATCCAAAAGCCTGTCCCAATACCCATGCTTGCATTCTTGGTCACTTGAGAGTGTGTGTGCATGACAGGAAGTTCACAGGACTAAAAAAAAATGCCAAAGCTCAGTGCCCTTAAAGGGATAGTTCACCTAAAAATGAAAATTGTCATCACCTGAATGTTTCTTTCTTCTGTTGAACACAAAAGAAGATATTTTGAAGAATGTTGATAGCCAAACTGGTAGCGATTGACTCACATAGTATTTTTTCCCCTTGCTATGGAAGTCAGTGGTAATCCACATGACTCCAGTCCATCAATTAACATCTTGTGAAGTGAAAAGCAAACAAATCCATCAAGATGTTTTTAACTTCAAACTGTTGCTTAT